TTGCATATCACATGTTCTTTAACTCTTAATGCTCTCAGCAATTCTACTGTGTTAACTCTCTTAATCCTCTCAACAAGTATTAACTCTTTTGATCCTCTCAGCAGCTCTTCGGCTCCAATTTTAGATGAGGAGACAGCCTATGAGAGTTAAAGAATTTTTCTGTCTCAGAGTTGGTAGACGGGCTCCGGAGTCTGGCTCTAGCCCAGTTCAGAGCTGTTTCAGACGGTTCCCCTCGGACCCAGCCATGCCTTGGCTCCTCTTGGAGGTAGCATGTGAGTTCGGGATACAGGCAGGCCTAGCTTCAAAGCCCCTCACATCCAGACTTTGTTCGCTTACTGTTACAGGGCCTCCTCTGAAGGCTGTTATGAAGACCAAACAGGATAATTTGTGAGGAGTGAAAGCTGCTGAGATCAGGGGATTTGTTTTGTTCATCACTTTATTCCGGGGCCTGAAGCAGGCACCACGTGGTTTTGAGTCAAGAGGAGGTGGCAGTAGTGAAGGGAATGAATGCAGAGCTGTGCCCTGCGGGCTGCCGTAAGGGGGTTCCTCTCTACCCCAGGGGAGCTCAGGTGTTGGGGTGGTGGGGCAAGAGTGCTCACCTCAGAGAAGCCAAAGTTTTTGTGTGGCCCTTGGTCATTTGGTATAAATCATTTTCTAATAATCTGCATTTTTTTTCACCCAAACTATTTGAAGGCTTCCCCCACTGTCCAGATTGTTTGTATATCCCAGTACAATTACTTGGCTTCCAAGAAAAACACAGCACTTCTTGTTATGTTTTTTCTGGCTTTAACCTTCAAACCAGCGTGTAGCTGAAGCTATGAGTAAAGATCTAACTACTGGCCATGCTTAAGGTTGCATCTGCTTATTGCGCCAGTCTGGGATGCAGTCATGCAGCTTTCAGGTCTGACATGGATTGCATGGGGCCGAGGGACAGGCTGCCTGCATGCTCAGTCTTATCTCGATGATAGCCCGTTAGACACAGAGCAGTAGGGAGGAATACCAACCCCACTTGGAGTAGATGAATAAAATCAGAACACTGGACTCATGCCATGGAAATGTCAGGTATCTGCTACATACCAGGCAGTGGGCTCCCTGTGGTTTTTGTTCATTTACTTATTCAGCAGATACACATTGAGGGCCTGCCGAAAGGCTGTTGTTGAACCATGAAAGACGCTGGGATTCTTGGCCTCTGGAGGAGAAGAATTCTCTCCGGGGCCAGTGACAAGGCTTGATCGCTCAGAGCTTTTGTGTAATAAAGCTTTATTAAAGTATAAAAGAGAGAAAGGTTCTGACATAGACATCAGAAGGGGGCAGAGGGAGTGCCCTGCTGCTAGCCTTTAGCCGGACTTTATACAGCTACTAGCAGGCTGCTAGTTGGAGAAAGGAAGCGTCTCAGAGCTCAGAGACTGGCACCAGCCCTCACCCGCAGCGTTCCTTTTGGCATAACACTGGCACCGGGCGAGTTGTCCGGGGCCATTAGGCAACGGTAAACACATAGTTCATTAACACAGCTTAAGACATATTTCCATAGGAAAAATGCATTGGTTAGCTCAAGGTTTGAGAAAAGTTAAGGGCAGGTGGAACCATGTGTTGTCATGGCAACACAGAAGAAACCTGTTTTTAAATTTGTGTAGAGACGGGGGGTGGGGGGGGTGGGAATCTAACACTTATTTGTTTCTTCCTATCGCTTAAGAGAGAGAGAAAAAATTGCCTGACACTTGCAGCCTATTTCCTCTGTTTGGAGACCCCTGGTCTTCCTGCCTATTACCCTCTCACCACCATGCATCAGGCACTGGGTTTGTGAAGATGAATAGGACAGGATGTTACCTCAAGATGTTGCCAACCTTGTGTCTCTTGGGTATGTCTGCAAACAAATGATTGTAGGGGAAGTTCTTTAGGTTGGATGGGGTTGCTCTCTGCAGATGGGTAGAATGAAAATACTGCTTTCATTGAAATTACTTGAAGTTGTGCTAAAATGGTAGCTTATTGCTATGCAGCCAAGAACTTCATCCTAAAATGGATAATATTTCAAGAATTTAAATTTATCTTTTTCATCTGTATTTCCTCCATTCAGTCTTAATTGTATCCCCTTTGGGTAGGGTTTTGTTGTTGTTGTAGTTTTTTTGGCCACGCCATGCAGCTTGTGAGATCTTAGTTCCCTGACCAGGGTTTGAACAAAGGCCATGGCAGTGAAATCTGCCTGGAGTCCTAACCGCTGGACTGCCAGGAAATTCCTCACCAGCCATCTCTACTTTGGGTTTAAGCTAGAGTATCTTTTTCTGCCTGTGGAATAGCAATACTGTAAGATTTTCTTCGTATTTTATTGAAGCTTTATGAGAAAATCAAGATAAGGAAAGCTAAAGTAGAAAGTGTTCAGAGGGATAACCATTTAGAGCATGCAATTATTGCTTTCTCACTAGTCTAGACATTTTGAAGATCCCGAAATTGTAGAAAATGTTCAAGGCAACAGAGGGAAATTTAGGGAAAACAGTTAAACTAAGTTCCTACAAGAGCAGCCTCTTTAAAGACCATTGAGGCGCTGTGGGGCTGAGGGACGTTTTGCAGAGTGAGGCTGTGATCAGTGACACGCTGACCACCTCCTTGCACCTCCTGTATATTCTGGTTGATATGGGAAAGTAAACAGACATTTTACGCACACAGTAACTTTGACATGGATCATTTGACATGTGCACTTTGTTCTTCTAGAACATTGCCTAGAAGGCTTTGATTTAATAGCTGATTTTTGCTGGTGTCTGCATACTGTATCACCTCCAGTGTGCTTATACAGACGCGGGATGAAGAAAAGCAATGACTGAATTGCCCAGTGTCTCCTTAGGGGTGGGAGTGGGGGTGGGGGAGCCTTGGGTGTTTATCAGAGGACTTTGGATAAGTCCTCATTTAGGCTGAAAGCCACGGATTTTCCCAGTTGAATTTTAGTGTTCTTGTAAGTCTGTCTTGGTTCACTTGAATTTTTGAGGGTTGCTTCATCTCTTGGTTTGGTTCTGTTTGCAGTTTTTTTAAAAAGTAATCTTAAGGGGATAGTGTTACAGCTTATCTGCAACATAACCAAAGATGCCCTGTAACTGTCACAGTCAAACATGATGATAACTCTGCAAGTGGCTTTCTAGGGAGATGGCGTGATCCCACCTCCCTCACTGACTCCGCTCCACCTCTTTAAGGTTAATACTTTATTCCTTGGGAAAATGGCGTCTTCCAGGTATACTCCTCCTTCTGGGTACAGAAGGTGTACCCAGCCTTCTGAGATCTGATTCCTGACAGAGTTCTTCACCATGTGGCTTTTATTTTCTTTGACATCTGACATACGGAGCTTGAGTGTTCCCCACCCCCCGCCCCCACCCTGTGTTTTCTCAATGGGATTTTAAAGTTTGAAAACAAAAGGACACTGCTTTAACTTTATCTTTTGATTTCTTTGGCCACTCGCTGTAGCTTCTGAGATCTTAGTTCTTGAACCTGGGATCGAACATGTGCCTCCTGCAGTGGAAGCACAGAGTCCCAGCCACTGAACCACCAGCGAAGTCCCTCTGCTGTCTTTGTCTCTGTTGCCTTCAGCTTTTTCTCTTGTTCCAAATGTGCTTGAATTTTCCTCCCCAACCCCTGAGGGCAAAAAAGGCTGAGTGATGCTGGAAGTAGACGTGAGGGAAAGTGTATTGGGACTGGGCAGGGAGGAATCTGAGGAATCCTATCTGGCTTATTCAAAGGATGAGCTAGGGCAGAGGTTAAGAGGAACAAGGTGAAAACCACTTGTGTTATTCCAGAGGGACTGTCGCACAGAGGAGTTGAGACAAGGATAGAAGGCCCCCAAGCCAGCACCTCTGCTTGCCCCCTTGTGGGGGAAAGTTCCCACTGGTGGTCATCACTGCTCCCTTCAGCTGTTGCGCCTTAGGGGTGCTGTCTCTGAGCAGTTCAGTTTCACCGTTAGATGCATCTGAAATCTGAGGTTCGTTTTTTTAGTTTCTGTGTCAGGTTCCCCACCAAATTCACCCCACCTCTCCAGCTCTGGTGACTTTCTCACCTCTCTCAGTGTTAGGTGCTCAGTCCTGACTGTTTGCGACCCCATGGGCTGTAGCCCGCCAGGCTCCTCTGTCCAGGGAATCCTCCATACAGGAATACCTGAGTGGGCTGCCATTCCCTTCTCCAGGGGGTCTTCCTAACACGGGGTCTCCCACATTGCAGGCAGATTCCTTAACATCTGAGCCACCTGGGAAGCCCAGGACTGGCATCTAGTCATCGTCCTGGCTATAATTTATTATAGCAAAAGGACACAGAACAGAATCAGCAGAGGGGAGAGTCACACGGGCCAAGGTCTGGAAGAAACCAGGGACCAGCTTCTTGAGTCCTCTCCTGCTGATGCCCACACAGGACACACTTCATTCCTCCAGCAGCCAGTTATGACGGGTCCTGTGAAATGTCTGCCAGGGGGTGCTCATCAGAGATCCAGAGCCAAGAGTTTTTATTGGGGCTGGTCACACAGGCCCCCTCTGCCTGGCCAGTGCCAAAATTTCAGACCCTCGGAAGGAAAGCAGATGTGAGTGTAAGCCACATTGTGCAAACAATTTAGGTATGTCGAGCATGGAGCCTCTCCAAATGTCCATCTCCAGACACAAGTGTGTGACTGTGGGCCCATCTCTTAATCTTTTTGTAAGGTTGTTTTGAGAGTTGTTGTCATCCATGTTAAGGATTGAAAGCAGTGCCTGAGAAGAAGTGTGTGTTTAATTACTGTTGGCTTATTATTATGTTTATGTGGTATTTTCAGTCGAATAGTGCTAGAGTTCATGTAGAATATGAAACTCTACCAGGTTTTGTTTGTTTGTTTTGGCTGCACTGCGCAGCTTGCAGGATCTTAGTTACCCAACTAAGAACTGAACCCAGGCCCTGGCAGTGAGAGTGCCAAGTCTGACCACTGGCCTGCAGAGAATTCCTATCTACTGATTTTTTTTTTTAATTTTATGTTTTCTTGCTTTTTTTGGTTGTTGTTCTAGGTTGCTGCAGCAACTGGCCACACAGTAGTGTTGGTGGACCAAACAGAGGACATCCTGGCAAAATCTAGAAAGGGAATTGAGGAAAGTCTTCGGAGAGTGGCCAAGAAGAAGTTTGCAGAAAACCCCAAGGTGATTTTTTTGTCATCAGTATCTTCAAGACCAGTTCTCTGACCACTTCACATTTGTTAGGGGGTTCTGGCCTTTGCTTGCTTTTTAAATGTTTGAATTGAAACTTGAGGCCAATAAAACAGGCCTGACTTTAGGCCAGTATAATAGCATGATCACTAAATAGGATAACAGAACAGGAGAAATAAATAGCCATGTTGTTGGTTCTTTTCACCTTTTGGCTATTGTGAATAGTGCCGTAGTGAACATGAGTGTACTGTCTGCTCAAGTCCCTCTTTTCAGTTCTTTCAGGTATATACCTAGAAGTATATACCTGGGTCATATAGCAATCCTAGGCTTAGCTTTTTGGGGAACCACCATACTGTCTTCCTCAATGGCTGGACCATTTTACATTCCTACAAGTAATGTACAAAGGTTCCAATTTCTCCACATCCTGACCTACAATTATTGTTATTTTTGTAACAGCCATCATAGGAGGTGTGAAGTGGTATCTCATTGTGATTTGGGTTTGCATCTTCTTAAATCTAGTCATCTTTTAAAATCAGAGGAGCAGGAGAGGAGACCATTTTATTTTCTCCCTAAAGAAATCTGAGCAGAATGTATCACAGCAGATTAAGATCTCCCTCACATGTCCTCACTGTCCTTAGTGATTGTGATAGAGAGGAGCCTGTTGTGATGAGGGTCTGGTCAGGTGGGATTTGAAGAGGGCTGAGGGAAGCAAGGACAGAGTGAGTGGAATCCAGATAACCCACACTCTCACTTGTTCACTCTGCACACCTCTGCCAGTTGTCCCTCTCTGGGCCGAGGCTCTGGGCCCCACCCTGAGGGTAAAAAGGTGGCATCTGTTCTCAAGATGACTTGCTCCTGACTGGTCACTCCTCAGGAGTCTGGTCCCCTGGTGTTTCCCACCTCTGCCAGGGACGCGCTTGAAGGCAGCTTCCGCTTGCTGAGTTGACATAAACTGTATTCATCTAGCTCTCCACTGACAAGGACAGTTGCCACTGACCACAAGTGGCTGTGAGCACTTTACCTGTGGCGAGTCCAAGCCGAGGTAGACATCAGATTTCAAAGGCTGATTAGAAAAAGAACACGAGACATCTCTATATTGATTACATGTTGAAATGATAGTAGCTTAGATATCTTAGGGTTAAATAAAATTAATTTGACCTGTTTTCACATGTTAAAATGCAACTGATAGAAATTTAAAATCAGCTATCATCTTGTATTACATTTCTGTTGATCAGCTCTGATAGTTTTTTTTTTTAACTTTTTATCTTATACTGGAATATGGCCGATTAACACTGTTGTGATAGTTTGTGGTGGCCAGCAAAGGGTCTCAGCCACACATATACATGTATCTGCTTTCCCCTAAACTCCCCTCCTACCCAGGCTGCCACATAACATTGGAACAGCTCTGAGAATTGTTTATTCCTTGATAATTTTGGATGCCTTTGCTGGACCGTTTTGAATCCTCATGGGCAAATTATATCTTGAAGTAAAATGGCAGCTAATAAGGGGACCACCTGTTTCTGTGCTGATTGAGATCTGTTTGTGGAAACCTGGAGGTACAAATGAGGAAAAGACAGGACTGCACGCTCTTCTAGGGCAGAGGCTGTGTCTGGTGTGTGCTCTTGAACCACCAGTTGCTGGCACATGATGGGTGATTATTAGTTGATAAACAACTGCTGAGTCAGGCAGCTCTTCCCTGCCTCCTACTAGAGGGGAATAGTCAGCACCACCTCTCAGACTTGTGGATGGGGCTGAGATCCACTTTTACCCTTTTCTGGAAGACAGATCACAGGCTTCTAAGAAGCCCGTCATGGAACAGTACATGGCTGTCAACACAGAGCAGACAGAACAGGCCAGCACCGATGCTGTGAACAAACAGCTTAGTGACCTGAGCAGAGTCGGCTAAGAGCCTGAAAGGTTATGACTGACACACGGCAGTGTGCTGACCAGCACTTGAGGTCGTTCACAGACTGGTTCTTGCCCTAGGGTCCAGAAGTACATTGAGATGCCATCTGCCCTAGGAAGAGACGTAGACAGTTTTATTTCTCGGAATTTCAGAGCACATTCAGTTGTCTGGGGTGTTCTGGCCTATCCTCGCCCTCCTGCTTCCTCCCTCCTTTGCAGCGCATCAACCGTTTTCCAGTGAGCCTAGTGACCACTCTCTTCTCCTTCCTCCACGGCATTAGGGTGCTGACGAGTTTGTGGCGAAGACCCTGAGCAGCATATCGACCAGCACGGATGCAGCGTCCGTGGTCCACAGCACACACTTGGTGGTGGAGGCCATCGTAGAGAATCTGCAGGTGAAGAACGAGCTGTTCAAGAGGCTGGACAAGTTTGCTGCCGAGTACGTGATCTCTGGGAGACCTCGTTGGTGCTGGGGGCTCCCTTCCTGGCGCTTGGGCTTTCCTGGGAAGGAGTCTCCTGACACTAAGACTTCTTTTTATTACTCTACAGCTGTTTCCAGAAGAGCCAACACTGTTTCCATTGTTCTCCATCCTCCACCCCCAGTTTGCTTCCTGAGGTGTGGGCTGCCCTGAATCTGATCCTTGTCCCCAAAGGAGGGTAGAGTTTTTCCCACGTGAATTGGAAGGTCCATCCAGGGACAGGTCTTGGTCTCTTGCAGCGTCTGTGTCATGGCCCCTCACAGGCCAGAGGACGGAGGCACTCGGTCATGTCCTTAAACGTCTGTGAGCAACGTCAGAGCAATTTGGTGTGTCCCCTCTTTTGGATGAAATCAACAGAACAATGTAATTGAAGGGAACGCTTTCTGTTTCCATGGTTTTCCAGGATCCTCTTGCTTTGAGCCTTCTGTGGGTTAAGTAAAAACTGTTGGGATCCTTTAAGGAGCACAGAGTTGTTACCCAGCTTCCTGGCAAAGGGTGGGCGAGGAGAGCTAGCCTCGTGCAGGTCAGACACAGGGCCCCTGGCTCAGGACTGTCTGCGGCATCAGCGAGCCGTGCACATGTGCAGCTCTAGTTCTGCCTGTGGCTCCTGGTGATGTTGACCCCTGACGTATTCATTCATGCTCATCTTGTGGTTTGCTTGGCCATGCGTCACCCGTCTTTATTGGGACTCAAAGTCAGATTAAGATTATATAACAACCGTAATTCTTAGGCAGCCACCAATGAGCAGTGGCTAAAGAGAGACACTTGCAGACTAGCCTGCTGAACTGACGGCCTTTGGCGGTGTGGTCTGGGGACCCTGACAGAGAAGAGGGCTGTTTTTGTGTCCCCTGGGTGTCACTCAGCTGATCAGCATGCTCGCGTACCTTACAGGCTTCCCTGGTGGCTTAGAGGGTAAAGCGTCTGCCTGCAATGCAGGAGACCCAGGTTCGATCCCTGGGTTGGGAAGATCCCCTGGAGAAGGAGATGGCAACCCACTCCAGGACCCTTGCCTGGAAAATCCCATGGATGGTGGAGCCTGGTAGGACTATAGTCCATGGGATCGCAAAGAGTCATGCACAACTGAGCAACTTCACTTCTCTTAGGGGCTGTAGCGCCATGTGACAGAAACCAGACTGTCTTGGTTAGGGGTATTGGCTAAAAAGGTTTTTTTTGCTTTGTTTTTTTAAGGAGAAGCCCCTTTGCCTGGCCCTTGGAAGTTGTTTGAGAAAGGTCACTGTTCTCGTGCCTTAAAGGTGAAGTGCTGTTTATGTAGGAGAGTGTTATGCCCTTGTTTTCCTCTAAGAGTTCTATTGTATCTGGCCTTACATTTAGGTCTTTAATCCATTTTTAGTTTATTTTTGCATACAGTATTCTAATTTTATTCTTTTACATGTAGCTATCCAGTTTTCCCATCACCACTTATTGAAGAGATTGTCTTTTCTCCACTGTATATTTTTGCCTCCTCTTGTCATAGATTGAGTGACCGTCGGTGTGTAGGTTTATCTCTGGGCTTTCTGTCCTGTTCTGTTGATCTATAAATCACAGCAAGATCTTTTTCAATCCACCTCCTAGAGTAATGAAAATAAAAATAAAAATGAACAAATGGGATCTAATTAAATGTGAAATGTTTTGCATTGCAAAGGAAAGCATAAACAAAATGAAAAGACAACCCTCAGAATGAGGAAAAAGTACTTCCATCAGATGTTATTGTGTCCGACCCCTTGCGACCCCATGGACTGTAGCCTGCCAGGCTCCTCTGTCCATGGCATTTTCCAGGGAAGAATACTGGAGTGGGTTGCCATTTCCTTCTCCAGGGGATTTTCCTGATCCAGGGATCAAACCCAGATCTCCTGCATTGCAGGCAGATTCTTCAGTGTCTGAGCCGTCAGGGAAGCCCTATGAAATGTTGGCCATCCAAAGTATACAGACAACTCATGAAACCCAATATCAAAAAACCATTCAACCCAATCAGAAAATGGGCAAAAGATCTAAATAGATGTTTCTCAGAAAAAGATACAGATGGCCAAAAAGGCACATGAAAAGCTGCTCAGCATCACTAATTATTAGAGAAATGCAAATTAAATCTACAGAGAGGTATCACCAGTCAGAATGGCCATCAAAAAATCTGCACAGTCAATGCTGGAGAGAATGTGGAGAAAAGGGAACCCTCTTGCATTGTTCCTCGGAATGTAAACAGGTGCAGCCACTATGGAGAACAGTACGCATGCTCAGTCCCTTCAGTCATGTCTGACTCTTTGCGACCCCATGCACTGTAGCCATGGACTGTAGCCCACCAGGCTCCTCTGTCCATGGGATTATCCCAGCAAGCATGCTGGAGTGTGTTGCCATTTCCTCCTCCAGGGGATCATCCCAACCCAGGAGTTGAACCCACATCTCCTGTTTCTCCTGCATTGGCAGGAGGATTCTAGAACAGTTTGGAGGTTCCTTAAATAACTAAAAATAGAGCTACCATATGATCCAGCAATTCCACTCCTGGGCATATATCCAGAGAAAACCATAATTCAAAAGATACATGCACCTCAGTGTTCACTGCAGCACTATTTACAACAGCCAAGACATGGAAGCAACCTAAATATCCATTGACAGAGGAAAGCATAAGGAAGATGTGGTACATATATACAGTGGAATACTACTCATGAAATTGGTCAGTTTTTTTCTATCAGCATTTTTAAATTGAAGTATACCAGCTCAGTGGTAAAGAATCTGCCTGCATTGCAGAAGACCTGGGTCTGATCCCTGGGTTGGGAAGATCCCCTGGAAGAGGGCATGACAACATACTGTAGTATACTTGCCAGGAGAATCCCCATGGACATAGAGGCCTGGCAGGCTGCAGTCCATAGGGTCGCACGGTTGGATATGACTGAAGCAGCTAAGCAGCAGCAGCATAGTGAGTTTACAGTGTTTGATTTCTGCTGTGGAGCTAAGTGATTCTGTGATACATATATTCTCTCTTTATATTCTCTTCCATTATGGTTTGTCATAGGATACTGAATGTAGTTCTCTCTGTTGTACGGTAGCACCTTGTTGTTTATCCATCCTCTGTATAAAATCTCACATCTCTAACCCCAGCCTCCCACTCTGTCCCTCTCCCAGACCCCTGCCCCTTGACAACCACGAGTCTGCTCTCCATGTCCATGATTCTGTTTGTTTCATAGATAGGTTCATTTATGCCACAGTTGAGATTCCACCTGTAAGTGATATCATGTGATACCTGTCTCTCTGACTGACTTCACTCAGTATGATAATCTCTAGGTCCGTCCATGTTGCTGCAGATGGCATGATTTTCTCCTTTTTTCGTGGCTGAGTGTATTCCATCGCATGGCTGTACCGGTGCACACTGCCAGCACACCAGCTGCTTTCACCTTACTCTTCTCGGCTCTTCCCAGATTACTGGTTTCTTCCCCCTTCCCTTCTCTCCTCCCACTCGCTCCTGATTTCAGGCAGACTGGAGTACTGCCTTTTGGGCAAGCAGGAGCACCCTAATCTGGCCGTGAGGAACACTGCCCTTCCTGTGCTGTGAACAAGCCCTGGTGGTGGTTAGAAGAGTTAGGTTGTTTTGTGTAAATTTATCCACAAGGTGGTGCTCTAGGAAAGCTGACATGTCTTGCCCATCTCTGAAGATTTGCCTGTCATGCCTTTGGCACCCCACTCTACTGAGGTCGTTAAAAATTAAATTTGCTTGAAATCAGCATGGAGTTTTTAAAATTAATAATTTAATATTTTATATACACAAAAGAAGATGGTGCTGCTTTTTAAGGAGATTTTATAATAAGAATAGGGCTTTGCTGGTGGCTCAGATGGTAAAAATTCTTCCTGTAATGCAGGAGACCTGAGTTTGATCCCTGGGTCGGGAAGATCCCCTGGAGAAGGAAATGGTTGGAGTGGAAACCCACTCCAGTATTCTTGCCTGGAGAATCCCATGGACAGAGGAGCCTGGTGGGCTGCATTCTATGGGGTTGCAAAGAGTTGGACACGACTGAGCGACTAACACTTTCACTACAATGAGAATATGTTGAACCATGTTTATCATGCGTATACAGGTATCCTTCCTTTCCCAGATCTACCAGTGTAACCTTAAAACTTCTTTTGGCCCATGTTGGTTTTCTTCTGTTTTCATTTTAATTCCCAATCAGTGGGAAAGTAAAGCTTTTCATTTGAGGGGAGATGGTTTTAGTTCATGTCAGATGTTTCTCATGGAGGATTCAGGTGTCTTCACAGTTTTTTGTTTGTTTTGAGTGTCTGTGATACATCCTGTTTTTCCTCAGTCTTTGCTCACTTGCAGTTTCATCTTGTGACGGGCGTTATTGCCTCCTGTGTTCTTCACGTACCATGTAAACTAAATCATGCAAGTAACCAGGAGAAACTTTGTTCCCTAAAATTAAGGAAGGATTAGCAAAGACTAAGCAGACTTTTGGAGCAGGTAACTTTTAAATTAAAAATTTCAGAATTTAAATGAAGCACATCACTTGATTTCAGCCTAATGTTAGTGAAGTTGTGTCTTTTCCTTGACTGTTTCCAAAGATGGGACTCATTCCAACACTCCAATGTCTTTCTCTCCACAGACACACAATCTTTGCCAGCAACACTTCCTCTTTGCAGATCACAAGCCTAGCCAATTCCACCACCAGACAGGACCGATTTGCCGGGCTCCATTTCTTCAACCCAGTGCCTTTGATGAAGCTTGTGGAGGTCAGTGGGGGTCTGCTTGTGCATGCCTGCTTGCTCTGCCCGCTCTCAGCCCCACTTTTGAGTGGCACCTGCCCTGCCACCAGGGATTGCACTGCACGGATTTTAGGGGGAGGTTGGCAGGTTGTTGTGCTTGTGCTTGCGTTTCTCTAGCCAGAGTCTCCTTTCAGAGCCAAAGGAAGAAACAGCACCTCATTTCTAGGAAGGCGCCTGGGCTTTATTTCTCTGCAGACCTCTCTTGACCAGTGGTGTCCAGGAGGGCTGTCAACTGTGTGGGTTATCGCTTACCGTTTGTGCCGTAGCTGATGAGCAGTGCAGAGAGAAGCATCAGATTGGGAAGGTGGTACTGAAGACCACTGGCCTGATGAGAGCACGGAGGAAGAACCACACATGTGCGTGTTGTCTTGTCCAGGCTGGATGAGAAATTTTATTAGAAGCCTGGTTTCCTATGGGAGCCGCTGTGTTAACCTGTCCACTGCTGGTGGGCCACAGTGGGGTCAGCCCCAGGTGACGGGCCTTTGTACTGTCCCCACAGGAGGCACAGCCCCTCTGTGTTGTGACCAGAGCTATGAAAGCAGCTCCTCACAGCCTCGCACCTCCTGACCTCAGCCCCGGGGGGTGGAGGGAAGTGGCCAGAGAAGGCTGCTGGGCTGCTGCCGCTTGCTTGCTTGAGACTCGGGTACAAGGGAAGTGGAGTCACGGTGGATAACTTGCACTGAAATGCGGCAACTTGCCTTTTATAGGGGGGCTAATTACAGGGTCTGAGGAGCAGCTTCTATTAAAACAGCATTTGTTCTGAGGTTGAAGAGTTATTGCCGTGCGAAGTGTGGGGGCTGTGGATCCAGGCAGCCCTCCAGAGACTAGCTGGGCTCCCTGGGAGAGAGTGGAGATGTGGTCTTCCACTGCTGCCTTCTCCTCCAGGCCCCCTTCCCTCCGGTGTCCCCGTGTGTCTGCCACCTCCTGATGCTCAGCCCCTCCCCTCTGTAAGCATTAGCATCTAGTTTAAGCATGACTGAATTTCTTTACAGTTTTCTTTCAGGGACTACTCTGAACCATCCTGTGATAGGAATTCTCTCTTCTACTTTCATTGCTTCTTGGCTTCTTCCAATTTACTGCCAACCTCTAAGGCTGTTTTTGAAGAAGTTGAGGAATGAAAGGGGCACAGGGAATAGAAAGCATTTTTCCTTATGCAGGAAAGAGCATGGAAGTGAAATGAAATTTTCCATGTTTTTGGTTACTATATCATGTACCATACGTCTTTTGAAGATAAAGACATATTCCAACTCTAATACTGTTTTCAACTGCATTTACCTAATAATGTCCATTTGTGTCTTTGGAAATATGGTACACTGATTGTTAACAGTTAATGTTTGACAAATGTTAACATTTTCTAGAAAATGTTTTCTAAAAGCCCTCTTCCTTATGCAATATTTTTCTTAAACTTGAGCATTTGAGTGTATGTCCTTGGTGGTAAACACCAAATTGAATGGTAAGTTGAGCGGCTCTTCTCCTTTACTTGGGACTGGGCACATTTATATGTGTATGTGTGTTAATTTTTCAGACCCTGCTTTGGAACAGAATGTCTGCAGCACATTGTTGGATGAGTGAATAAATATGCATTCGTCCTGTGAAAAACAAAACAAAACTCTTTCCTGTTGCCTCCTTTAAGTCACCAAATTATTTTTAAAACTCCCTGACATGCAGTGCTTGTCACAGCCCAGTCTGTTTGGTCCTGATGAAGGTGATGTTTCCACGTCTTCTTGAATAATCCTCAGGTTGCTGTTTGATTTGTGATACCTGCAGAGCAGTATCATTCCCATTGCTCAACCCCATCTTAATGGTGCCTTTTTTCTGTTTTCACTCATTAACTTCCCTTCTTGCCATAGCATATCAGCACATCCCAAGCTGTGATCACATTAAAAGATGAATGATAATGATCCTCTTCATTTATATAGCGCTTTCCATCCTGCACAGACACTATCTCATTACACCATACAGTCCTCTTAAAAGAGGGAAGATGTGTCAGATATCGTCATCCCTATTCATATGCGAAAGGTAAGGCACCAGGGGTTGCTTTGACTCACCTGAGCTTATATAAAGGGTCTGCTGTGGAAGCCAAGCCTGTTCGGCCTTGACTCTCATTGAAGTCCCTCAACTGGCATTTAAATTATATATTTAGTTTATATAAATTCAGCTGGGTCTCTCTCCATTGGCTGAAATCTAATTCCTGACAGGCGAGTTCTTTCCTGTGAGCTGACTGCTGGGCGTGGTGCTCGGTGCTGGCTCCCGCTGAGCCCTGCAGCCCTCTGTGACAGGGTAGCAGTCGTGCTCCTGCAGTGCCCCTCATAGAGAGGGTCAGGGGGGTGGCCTGGGCCTTCCCGAGGTCCTGGCAGGTGGCATGCCCCAGCCATAGGCCTACGTTTGCTGGATATGAAGGCCTCCCTATGGGATGAGCCTGTTCTGAGGCAGAGCGAGCTGTTGGCCTTTGGGGCATCTGTGTGGGAGAGGGTGAAGTAATAGGGGGTTACTCATCTCAGAGTCCACAGGACCTTGGTGGCCTGGGCGCATCACTCAGTTTTCCTGGGGCTCCTTCGCTTCATCTTTTTACTAAGAGAAGGTGTGTCTTCATGCAGAGTGTGTTAAAGGCAAGCGTTGTACTCCAGTAGACTTCCAGTTGCTTCCCTGAACTCATGAACAGCGACAAGTAAAACCCTAATAAGATCCAGCATTTACTGAGCATTTCCTTGAAGCTGTCCTTAATGCTTTACTTCCTAATCTAATTCCATTCTCATCTCAGCTCCTTGAGGGTAGTTAGAGTGATTTCAATGTTATTACAATTTCTAGAAACATTCCCAGTGTCACAGAGCCAGTAAGAGGTGTGATTGGGGTTTGAAGCCAAGTCTCAGTGACAAAGTCTGTAAAACTCTCCTACACACATATACACACATTTATATCAGTTTTTTTAGCCTTGATTTTGTGTGTTCTGTGATAGTCCAGTGTTTTGAAGTGGACATTTTGTTTCTGGCTTGAGATCCTTCTTTTCTGAAACTAAAAATTATTTTTGCCACCTGTGTGGCTGTTTTTTCTCAATGTTTCCTTGAACTGTTCTATTGAAATTGTTTGCCGATTTTATGGTTATAATTCTTCTCTGCTTTGCATTTCCAGGTCATTAAAACACCAATGACCAGCCAGAAGACATTTGAATCTCTGCTAGACTTCAGCAGAGCCCTGGGAAAGGATCCTGTTGCTTGCAAGGTGGTGTATGGGTAGCCGGGAGAGGGGGTGATTTTTCTGGGACCCTGACTTATTCCAGGAGGGATTCTTCTGCTGTAGGCTGATGTGGGAGAGGGGCGCTCTTACTGCAGGTCTGTCCACAGGCTGTGAAGGGCAAGCTGCATCTAGCAAGGAGTCCTGGTGATTATATGTAAAAGTATTCCTGGTACTCTCACCTACTTTGCTCTGATTATCTTCAGTCTCTGCATTTGTTGTAGTTCTTGTTTAGTTTTCCCCAAATTTAGGAACAGCACTTCTGCATGACCCAGGTAATTTTTCTGTAAGGACAATTGTGTCATAAGATGCCATTACACATTTTTATGATGGTTGGTAGTTTAGTCACTAAGTCGTGTCCGACCCTTGTGATTCCATGAACTGTAGTCTGCCAGGCTCCTCTGTCCATGGGGTTTCCCAGGCAAGAATACTGGAGTGGGTTGTGTCTCCTACATTTCAGGTGGTCTCCTGTATTGTAGGCTGACTGAGCCACCAGGGAAGCCCAATTATTTGTAAATATGTCATTTATCTTTTTGACCATAATTTAATTTTTTTACATTTTTTAAAGTTTTTATTTTTTAATGTAATTTTTAAAGGTTACTTTGCATTTACAGTTATCACAAAATATTGGCTATATTCCCTGTGTTGTACAATAATAATACATCCTTGACCTGTCTTATATCCATTAGTTTGTATCTCCCACTTTCACCCCTATATTGTCCATACCCCACCCCCACCCCATGGTAACCACTAATTTGGTCTCTATATCTGTGAGTCTGCTCTTTGGTTCTGTTCGTTTGTTTGTTGTATTTTTTAGATTCCACATGTAAGTGATGTACAGTATTTGTCTTTCTCTGTCTGACTTATTTCACTTAGCATAGTAATCTCCAAGTCCATCCACGTTGCTGCACAGGGCACAATTTCACTCTTCTTTATATGGCTGAGCAGCATCCCGTTGTATAGACACATTGTCTCCTCACGCCAGTGTCTGCGGATGGGCACGTGGGTTGTTTGCATGTCTTGGCTGTGAACACTGGGGTGCATGTAGCTTTTTGAATTAGTGTTTTTGTTTTTTTCAGATATATACCCAGGTGTGGAATAGCTAGTTGACTGTAATCTTTTCAATATCATTGTGGTTCTTCTCATAGCATACTTTTACTTTCCAACATAGTCTCAAGTGTGAACTCACAGTATTGTATTAATCCATGAAAGCTCCAGTTGTTTATGAATCATCTGAATAAGTCATCTGTCTTCTGGACCCCAATAGCCAAAGAGAGGAGACTTAAGCCTGCCAGTCCCCTGCATTCCAGGACTGTAGTGTTATATTAGGGAATGTCATTTTTTAACACTCATTTTTTGTTGGTGTAGTTTTATGGTTTTAAATCTTCTGGATTAAAATATATATATATCACATTAATAACCAGAGGGTATGGTTTTACTTTGCTACCAGTTTTTGCTTTGTTCATGGCAAGAAGTAGCCATTGTGTTAGAAAAGACATTAGTGTGCGGCAAATGAAACGCTAGGTGTGAAGTGAGTGCAGGAACAAGCCAGAGATGGTCTTTAGCAGGAAAGTCATTAATTCATGGAGTGCAATGAACCATTTTTCCATCCGGATAGCCATGGCAGGTGCAGGCCTGGGAACTGTGGTCTCATGAAATTGCACTTGTTACGTCATCGCAGAATTCTCTTTTTAGGTGCTACCTTAGGCATTCAGAGAGTCTTTTAGACCCTGATTAACTCTCAGGGTAAGTTATTCAGGCCCTTGGTGAGGCATCCAGAGAGCAGAGGAAATCACATAGAAGAAACGTCAGCAGACTTTCCTGTCAAGGGCCAGATGGTAGTATTCTAGGGTGTAGAGTCTCTGCCGTGGCTACTGGATGCTGCTGCTGTAACAGGAAAGCAGTGTGGGCCATACCTGCAAGGAGTAATGTGTGTGTGCTCCACTAAAACTTGATTTACACAAATAGGTGTGGATTTGGCCTCCAGGGTTATAGCTTAGGAACACCCAGCATAGAAGAATGACATCAATGTGCCTAAAATGGATCTTTCTTCATAGGAAGACTTCACAGGCAAAGTGTGCTGTGAAAAGGTGAAGGCCATGGCCTCGGGCCAGCCTGCCTGGGCTCACATCCTGGCTTTGGCACTAACTGGATGTGTAACCTTAGGCCTGTCTCGCAGCCTCCTGTGCCTCGGTATCCTCTCCCTCACACAGAGGTGACCATAGAGGTCATCTCACAGGGTTACTGTGAGGAATAAGTGAATGACTATTTGTAAAGTTCTTAGGACAATTCCTGCTATATAGTAAGTATAGTAAATAAAGTGTGTTTAATAAATAAGTAAATGTGTATGAAAAATGTAAGGTATATGAGTACCTAAACTTAAATTGCTTTATTAAAGGGCCGCGTCTCTTTACATTCCAGTGTTATGAGAGTATCTCTCTGTATCTTCAACAGCATTGAATATCATAATGGGGAAAAAGCCCCTTGCCAGTAACCTTACTGGTAACATGCTGTTTTGTTCTACTGAATATTTCTTCGGTTTTTTGTTGTTTAGTCACTAAGCTGTGTCCGACTCTTTGCAACCCTGTGGACTGTAGCCTGCAAGGTTTCTCTGTCCATGGGATTTCCTAGGCAGGAATATTGGAGTGGGTTGCCGTTTCCTTCTCCAGGGGATCTTCCTGACCCAGGGACTGAACCCATGTCTCCTGCATTGGCAGGCAGATTCTTTACCACTTTTTGAAGTTAAAAAACAGGTTTGCCCTGGTTATTATTAATAAATCAGCATAATTACATTAATATAGTCTTGGTTAAACAGATAAAGCCCTTTTGTGCATCTGTGCATTCCTGGGAGGTAGGCTGGGTGGTTCCAGTGTGTCCAGTGAAAGGAGGAACGACCCTGTGGTCACCGTATGCAGGCAGGCGGGCAGTAAGAGCAATATAGGAGCCTGGGCATCTTCTGTTCTGTTCATGGGGTGCCCAGCGTGTGCCTGACACAGGACTCACAGCCTAGCCCAGGGTGAGGGTTTTTTCCTGAGGGAGGGTCACAGCCTTTTGTTAAAAGAGGGGAACTCTGTTTACCTAGGGGAAATCAACTTCCCATAAAAGCCACCAAAAAGTTACCAAGCAAGCCTGCCCCGCAAGCTCGCAGGAGAGCTCAGTGGGCAGAATCCGCATGCCAGCCATCCCTCCAGGAGAGATGGTGAAGTGTTTGAATGAGAAGGGACATGAAGAAAGGGGTCTTCTGGGGAGGAGTCTTGGTCGGTGAGCTGTGAGAGGCCCTCGGTCCATCGGGACCTGCTTGTTTGTCCCGGGCCCTGTCCCCAGCTCCACCATCCTGTGCCAAGCACCGGACTGCACATCGGAAAGAGCCTGAGGAAATCCTCAACAGCTGGGAAGTTGTGCTCCTGAGGCATGCTCAGGATGGAGTGTGACTTTTTCTAGACTCGTTAAGAAATGCAGGAGAGGAGAGGAGTAAAGGGCCTACTGTTTGAGTGGAACATAATAATGCTATATACGCAGCATTTTATGTGCTTTCATTTACCTTCACAACTAGTGAGGTAGAAATTACTGCTCCTATTTCACAGATGATGAAACTGAGTTTCAGAATGATGCAAGGTCAAAGAGTATTCTAACCTGAGCCCAGATCCACCCGCTCCCAAAGCTGTGCCCTTTCTAGTGATCCAGGCAGTAGGGGCTGCTGGTTACTGTAATAGTTTTTTAAATTGTCATGTGGCCTAGAAGTGAGGCTGTCTTGGTGCTTTGAAACATTGAAAATGTATAGCTTGATAAATGTGTGTGATAATCCAGGGTGAGAAGGAGCGACCTGGTGACTTTACAGAAGGTAAAGTTCACAGAAATTCACTTGTTGTCTGTTTTTCTCTCTCCTCTGACAGGACACGCCTGGGTTTATCGTGAACCGTCTTCTGGTGCCATACCTCATGGAAGCAGTCAGGCTGTGTGAACGAGGTAGCTGTCTCCACCCAGGCTGGGAGCAGCAGGCCTGTAGTCCTTCTGTGGGAAGGGCTGGGCCCTGTGGAGCAGGGGAGGCACTTCTGTTTTCAGACTCTTGTGAATCAGCCTCACCCTGAGCCTGGTCCCTTTGTCACTGTGTTCCCAGGATTCCCTTGGAGGCCTCTGGGGACTTCCCACTCCGCCACCTCCAACTACAGTCTCAGCCAGAGCAGTCATAGGCCAATGTGGGTTTATATCCTGGATCTCTGGCTAAGAGGTTTATTGCTTAAAACGATGACAGTGATATAAAAATCACTGGGCTAGGGAACCTTTAAAATTCCCTAAGGTTGTAAAATTGTGACAGGAGATGGGAAATTAGTAACAAGATTGTAATGTGACAGGGAATGTTTCTGACAGTGGTGTTGGTCCTTACTGAATGATGTTATGATGCATTTTTTTTTTTAACCTTAAGAATGGTCTAAAATGGTTTTTCCTCAATACTGGTAGATTGACAAAGAATGATTTTCCCTGTTGTAGAAATAGACTTGGGACATGATCCAAGGTTAGAAAATGTCATGTATCCTCCTGCCTACCTTCCCTACGGCATTTGTGGAAAGGTAATTGTTTCATCTCTGCTTCAAAGGCAAACAGGCCTTAATAAGACTGAATGAAAAGCAACTGTAATTGTTTTCAGTTACTTCATTCACAAATGCTTGCTCCTGAGAATGTCATTTTTGAAACAAAACATTTATACCAGCTCTTCCAGAGAGATGAAAGCATATTTGCTTCCTCAAAATCTGCTTTAAATATTAAAACTTTTCTCTTGTGTTTTTTGGAGGCATTTGCCTCACTTTTGCTTCAAGATCAAACCAACACTTCTGTGTTTCTCTATCAACAAATACATCTAATTACACCTCAAAGACAGCATGAAGTGTTTTGCCCTACTTTGAAAGACAGGGGTTTTCTTGGTAATGTAATGTTTTAGAATATAGCATGTGGGTGATCCACCTCTTAATGGTGTTCTTCTCACTGACATATACTGTCACTTGGATATGTTTTCACCTGAACTGTGTGTCTGGCTGTAAGTTGAAAGTCACTTTCTTGTCTTCTGCTTTCCTCCCGTCAGCAGTGGTCCTTTTCTGTACAGATGGAGTCCCTTTGACCTTCACCATCTCTAGCCACCTGGGAGATGAAACTGGGCCGGGAATCTGAGCCCACGGGGGAAGTGCTCTTAGTTTGCCCTTGGTGCTGCTTGTATCCTGGAGGTGCTGAGTTTTATGAGTGGGTGGGTGCTGTTTCCTGGAAAGCCACACTGTGGTCCAGACTCCTCGGCCTCAGGCTTCTTACTGTGTCCCTTCTGCCACCTTATGGTTCTGCCAGCCGCAAGCATGCTCACATGCCCGCCTGCCATCCCATTTGCATTCACCTCCTTGGAGTGTTCTACTTTGAAATCTGAAAGTGCTTTGGATTACCCTCTCTCACCTGCCATGTCTGTTCATTGTCACTTGACTCCTCCTGTCATCTGGTCTCCCTGTGCCAGTCAGCCTGCCTTTAGTGCGGCTCCTCAGGCAACAAGGGATTCACACTTACTTTGTGTCTTTTCCAAACTGGTCTCTGCAAATATTGTGTTGCCCGGGAGGGTGAGGGGACTGTGCATCCCGTTTCTGCATGGCAGCAGAATTGGACCATGAAGGCAGCTTAGCCCAGCCCTTCCAGAACTCATGGTGGAGAATGTCTCTGCCTGATATTATCTTGGTCAGCTTATGTGCTCTTAAAAAGAAATAGAGAGCAATATAGACTGGGTGGCATATAAATGACCACAGTTTATTTCTCACATTTCTGGAGACAATAGTCCAAGACTAGGGTGCCAGCACGATGGAGTATCTGGTGAGAGCCCTCCTCTGGCTGCAGACCGCCGACTTCTTGAGTCCTCACATGGTAGAGAGCAGAGCGAGGAAACCAGCTCTCCTGTGACTCTGGGAAGGGCTCTGATCCCTTTCATACACGCTCCACCCCTGTGACACTTCAAATTGCTACAAGGTCCCACCTCCTTACACCACTGTATTTAGGGAGTAGGGTTTTAGTGTGAATTTGGAGCACATAACAAATACTTGATACACCTGAGGTGAGCATGCCTCTAAGACAGGTGGGCAGAATGCTGCTTTGAGCGGTAGGGGGTCATCAGAAGGATGTGTGGGGTGTTAGAACAGACAGTCAGCTCTATCACTGTCCACTGGGGCCTCCTGGGCAGCTGAGCAGCTTTCAGAGTTCAAAGGCCCTTAGCAGTGCTTCTGCCAGCTGTCCGTGGGGTCTCGGGCACACCACTGCCCCTCAGCACTGCTCACTGGCTGTGGGCCTCCTTGCTTCTGGGTCAGCCTTCCTCCCCAGTGCCTCGCAGCCTTTGTCCTCTCTCCTGGTGCTGTTGGCATTCCCACGATAATCTCGTCCCTGGGGTCGGGGCGCTCTCTGCAGACCTCTGAGCAGGCTGGTGACCGCAGCAGACAGCACGTCCTGTCGGACCCACTGAGCAGTCAGAGTCAACTCTGGAGGGTGGTGGGGCTGCGTGGTTAGCTTTTTTGGGCGACACCTGGGGGTGTCACGAGCCTGTCCCCCAGTCACCGTGTGACATCCTGCTCACAGTGTCCCTGCCGTGCTTGGGACACGGTCAGTGGTTCCGTCGGAGCCGACCAGATACCATGCCCTTGCCAGGGAGCCTTCTTCTCCTCGCCCTCTGCCTTCTTTCCCGCCTCACGCCTTGCTCCCACCTTCTCTCAGGGCCCCACGGGACCATCCCCAGTGCTCCAAGCTGGATGTAATCTTGGTTGTTGTCAAACTCTCTGCTTTGCTTCTGCTTCAGGGCACGTGCCTGCCGCATAGCACATGGCTTTCTTCTCCTACTGTGCTCCATTTTCAGTGTTTGGGTCCTCATCTTCCTACTTCCAAAGTGCTTGTGTAAGCCAAGCTTTAGGTAGCTGTTGATGCATAAAGGAATGGTGGCTGCACTACAGTTCTGATCCTGTTGCCTGTGACCCTGGCTTGTTGTTTGGCCAAGAATGGTCGGTAGGTGGTGGTGATGAGCCAGCAGAAGAAGCCTATTCGGGCAGGTCCCCAGGTCCCAGGCCTGTAGAAGAGCTGGGAGTTCACTGAGGATGCTTTTCTTTGTTGTTGAGAGTTAGGGGATGAGGAGGGGGGCCCTATCAACCTGATGCAGAATTTCACGTGTATGCACATTTTCTTTGGAGAAGGTGTCAGATTTTAAGTGCTTGACTCTAAAGATTAGGAATTAATGGTCTAAAGCATGATACCATGTTTAACTCCCACTTGACATACCAGTCTCTATTGTATATTTCTCTCTCTCCCCCCCCTTTTACTGTCTTACTCAGAACAGAATTTTTAGGATTGTGCTGACTTTGTAAAACTGTTCAGATTTTTTCCCCATGATGTGCCATGTCTTCATATTATTTTTTAGAAATAAAATAGTCAAGTGAGTCTCTGAATATAGGATAACAGTTTTGACTCTAGGGTTTATTGTCTCTCCTGAATATTGATTTGATTAAATGGCTTTAAGGTAAGTTGGAACCATTATGCTGTGAGATTTCTATCCGCAGGAAGCTGATATTCTAATAAGGGGAGACAGCCTATAGCAAGTGAACCAGTAGATAACATGTTAGGTTGTGACCAATAATCCTTGAGAAAGATAAATATACAGTCTAGGAGGTGGCAGGAGTCCTAGCCTGGAGTCTTGATAGCTCCCAGCTTATATGCAGAGAGCAGGGGAGCCTCTGATGCTCTGACACCTGAGCAGAGGTCTGCAGATATGGAGGACAGGATCCCAATACAAGGAGCAGCAGGAGCGAGCCCCAGGAGCATGCTCGGCTTGCTTCAGCACTCTGGCGTCTGCACCGCAGAAGCCTGGGAGCCTAATGCAATCCTCTCAGCAGACTCTTTTATCAGCCGCCATGTTCTCTCTCATTCCTGCTTCGCACATGCTGTTCTTGCCGCCTGGTATGCCCTTCCCTCCCTGCCCGCTCTTCCCTGGGGATTCTCTTCAGGACCATCGGGACCATCAGGGCCCATGCCTGGGTGGTGGTTTGGTGAAGTCATAGCATTGTGAGGAAACCTCTCCATCTCTGCCCACACAGCCGTGTGAATCTTCCTGAACCGTCAGCACTTGTTAGATGAAAGTTTTGGTTTGCACATCTGAATCCTCCCATTAGATCATGGACACTGCAGTGCTTGTCTTGTTTTTCTTCGTTTCATTCCAAGTCTCTGGTGCCTGATACGTAACAGATATTAAACAGGAGTTGAATGAATGAGTGAGGCTGCCTGATAAGGCTAATGTCTGTGTGATCATTTTTGCTTTCTTCTGACCTGAAACTCAAATCATTCTCAGGAACCTCTGGTTGACTAATCAGAGGAGTAACGATAAAGTCACCCAGGAGAAATAATTGGTTGGTATTTTAATCATCTTGAACCACCTTGAATCCTTTGGCATTATCTTAGTACTTCATATGCTTTTAAAAATAGAACCTTTATGCATGTTTAAGTAGTTCTTGTTCCTCATGCCTAAAATATCTGAAATATTTAGGTTGTGACATCCTCTCTTAAGTTTTTTTAATCACTTTTTAAATTTAGTTTTGTTTTAACTGACCGTTTCTTTATGCTTTGGAACAAAGTTCTAGATAGACACTTGTTACAGGCTAGTTGTGTTCCTGATTTTGGAGAAAGGGGACAGGTTGCTCTCTCTAAAGACCTTTGGTCCACAGACATTATGTGAAGGATAATATTCCACGGATAAAGCACTTTGGTTCTTGTCTTTGTTTCCTCAACACACTTTCAAACTTGAGTGGCAGTTCTAAATCAGGTTTGGGCATTTCTTTAAACATTATCTTGACTAAAGAGTTTATATGCATGGGATTCCAAAGGAATGACTCATTACTTACAAAACCAAGAAAGGTAAAAAAGAAAAATATATATACAATACATAGAAAAACATACAGCTTCATTGTTTCCTTTTTTAAAAAACAGTCCCTTTATCAATCACAAACATGCTGTAGTTTTAAAAGATTTTTTAGTAAGTTATTTCAGAAAAGGAGAATTCCAATCCATTAGAAAGTAACTAATGTTTCCAGGCCACTGGGGCCTTCTCTCTCCATGAATGGAATAATAGTGCTTGAGAGTTTACCTCACAGAGTAACTTTATGTAGTAGCTTTGAAAATCTTGTGACCTCTGAGAAAAATCTTACCCAAGCTGGAAATCCTGACTCCAGAACTTTCTTGAATGTGCATATATGTAAAACACCAGTAATTCCGGAACTAAGCGAATTGCGCGACGGGATGATCATGGGAAGGACGGTGGTAACTCAGTGCTGCCCCCTTCTGCTTAGGTGACGCATCCAAGGAGGACATCGACACTGCTATGAAGCTGGGTGCCGGGTACCCCATGGGTCCATTTGAGCTTCTCGATTATGTTGGGCTGGACACTACCAAGTTCATCCTGGATGGTAAGAATTGGAATTCTCTGTTGTCTCTCTTTAGTTGAGTTGAGGTCGTCTCTTTCAACTGTGAATTAAATTAAATGCCTATTTAAATAGATAAGGAGTCTTAGTAGACCTTCCAAAGTCCTGTCCCATCAGCTGAAAGATTCAAGTAACATGACAGAAGGAAGAATATGACTGTCTAGTCTCCTCATGAGGCAACTTTTAAAAAATCTTTTTGTTTTGAAAGAATTATAAATTCATAGGAAGTCCCACATTCAGCAAAATATAGCAGACAGGGCCTGTGTACCCCTTTACCTGGTTCCCCCTTAGGTTTGTATCTCATATGGCAACCATAGTACAATATCAGAGCCAGGAAACTGGCATTGGTACACAGTCATTCTGTCAGGTATCCTGATTTGTGTAACCACTGCATTCAAGATGCAAAACCATTTAAAAATGTGTATTCATTTTACTGTAGTGGCTATTAAAGTTGAATGCCGCTCATAGTACCAAGTTGTACAAAGAATATCTATGGGAAGGAGCAAGGGGAGGTTCTAGTGGAAGCAAGAACTTCAGAATTTTATGAGGATACAAAATGCCAGTAGCAGCAAATTCAGATTTTTAACATGCCCGAAAGTCATTTCACTGTGTCACTGAGGGGTCCAGCCACCAGATTAATGGACACCTTTAGCATCAGCTATTTCCGGGAAGGGGTTGGATGAATAGAAGGGCCATGGGAGAGCTGGGCCTCAAGTGAGACACTGCCCAGTGATGACCCCTGCTTTGAGGCTCATGTTCAGCCTTCCCTCTGCCTCTGCCAGCCTGGAGGCAGAGCGTGGGGAGAAGGGTTCCTACTCTGATGTGGGAGAGGCCCACGGGCCTCACTTATGCCACTTGGGCCAACAGACTCACCCTGGGAATGCTGAGATGTAAAATAAACCCAGCACTTCATGCTAAGCTCTTGTTCCTTCTCTCAATAGGTTGGCATGAAATGGACTCAAAGAACCCCCTGTTTCAGCCCTGCCCATCCCTGAATAAGCTGGTAGCAGAGAAAAAGTTTGGCAAAAAGTCTGGAGAAGGATTTTACAAATACAAGTGAGCAGCTTCTCTGGCTCCAGGACGAAGCCCTGTAAGCACATACCAGCAGCTCCTCAAGTGCCCGCGGGAATGCTCTTTGGTCAGATGTTTCCTCCCACAGCACGATCTGTTCAATGTACATTTTGATTGTAATCTATCTGAATTAATCAATTACAAGAGTTAGAGTAATGGCAGATTCCTCCATTGAGAAACTAATTCCCTTTCCCTTTTTTAGTCTGTTCATTTCTGTGTATCTTCTAAAAAGCTTTACACCCTTGGTGCCTTGGAGCAAACATTTCTTTTGAACCTGTTGTTTTCATAAAGAGTGCCAGAACCTGAATTCATTTGCTTGTAATGAGAGCATCCTGTGTCCATTGTTGCCACACGGGAAAGTCGCCAGCCACCGACACACCCGTGTTGTGTCTGTGGAGGGCTGCAAGGCAGCACCTGCCTCTTGCCTTTACCGGGTTATCTACTGCCTGCAGCCTCAAGCCTTACCCTCCTTCGCGCATGATGTCAGGTATCATGTCGTGATTCAACTCATCACTGAGATGTTGCTGCTGGATTCGTGGGAAGATCTCCAAGTGCAGGAAGATGTTTTGTTCACATCCGAAATCTGAATGATTATTGTCTGTCTCTTTTTTTTTTTGCCCATGAGAAATCATTGCTGCAAACTGACTCTAATGAAATGCCGTTTTTTTAATCTATGAAAATTTGAATTGAAATAAACATGTATAGTTTAAAATCATAATATGTTTAAATGGTTATAAAAGTAAAGGTTGGTAATTTAGGTGGAAGCTGTGCCATCTTTGGCCTGTAGTCACTTTTTTGAGTGGTAATGGTGAGGAAGGAGTGGCAGGAGAAGGTGTTTATGTACAACCTGCCTGTAGCTGTCACTCCAGATTTCTTACCAGGAAAGCAGTAATAAAGGCACAAAAACCAGTTTTTAAGGAACATCTGTTTCTTCTTTGCCAACAAAAAGAAATAGTGTAACATAAGCTTCTTGTAATCATTGGCTTGAGAAAGTGTCTTACAGGATAGAATTTTGAGGCTGGAAAGACATCAGAAACCCTGAGGTCCAGTGGCCCCATTAACAGAGAGCTGACGTGATGTGCTCAGGGCGACCAGAAGTTTTGTGACAGAGCCAGGATTAAAACTAGGTTTTGATAAAATATAAGGTAGCAAATTTGAAAATTTCAAATCCAGACTTCCATATAGGACTGGCCCTAAAATGGGCATCCTTGTTTGGAATTCTTTTTTTTTTTTTTTTCCATTTATTTTTATTAGTTGGAGGCTAATTACTTTACATGATTGCATTGGTTTTTGTCATACATTGAAATGAATTAGCCATGGATTTACATGTATTCCCCATCCCAATCCCCCCTCCCACCTCCCTCTCCACCCGATCCCTCTGGGTCTTCCCAGTGCACTAGGCCCGAGCACTTGTCTCATGCATCCAACCTGGGCTGGTGATCTGTTTCACCCTAGATAATATACATATTTCGATGCTGTTCTCTTGAAACATCCCACCCTCGCCTTCTCCCAGAGTCCACATTTAGAAAGATGGTAACGATAACCCTATATGCAAAACAGAAAAAGAGACTCAGATGTATAGAACAGACTTTTGGACTCTGTGGGAGAATTCTTGCTCACAGTGCTCATGCTTAAGAGATTGTCCTTCACCCATTTCATGATGGATAAAGGGGAGCTTATTAAATTTTTTTTGCTTGAATCTAACTAGAGCATAATGGAAAAGTAACTATGTGCATACATTTCTACCACACATAGAACCTGGTTTAGGAAACTTGTAGGTTATTCTTATATTTCCTAACGAAAAAAGGAAGCACCTGTGACACCATCACCATTTCCATTACTTAAGGTTACTCTGTGGTCTGACAGCCCCCTGCTTACTCTCAGGCTGGCTCCTGGCCTTTGACAGGAGCCCCAGGCTTAGGAGGGGCGTCCTTTCCTTCTCATCCTCTGTCTGGACTGCCCACAGGATGAGGGCCCTCATCCTGGAAATGGCAGGGCTCACTCCTGACCACTGGATTCCAGGAAAGAGCAAACGCAGTGATGTGGCGTCAGCCTGCCCGGGGTGAGGGTGGGGGTCGCAGCTGGCTTTCCCTGGCTGTGGTGTCTCGGTGTGCTCTCAGCCTGCCAGAAAGTCCGAACACCTGGCCTCTGAATGTTCTTTTGTTGTTTTCGAAAATCCTCTTGCATGTGTCATGTTTGGGTCTGGGACGGAACTTTGAACATCTTCTTAACATACAGGAGTGGAGAGTGGCTTTCTCAGCCCTGTGCTCCAGCCTCTGCCTTCTCAGGGGAGCACGGCTACTGCCTGCCAAGGGCTGCGAGGAGAGAAGGGTCTTTGCAGTCAGTCAGGTCCCCTGCTTTTAAATCGGGACTGGCTACTGTATAGTCACCGCTTAAACAACATACACTAGTTACACTTCCATAGTTTGCAAATGACACTTTTCACACTTTGAAACAAGCCTTGTCTTGACCCACCTTGGTTTTAATCCCTTTAAACATTTCAATCTAAGTAACCTATTAAGTCTTACCAAAATACAAGGTGTGGCTGTAATTTACTGGAACCAATTTTCCTGTAAACAGGCACTGATGGTACATAAATATTAATCAAAAGTGCTTTGAACAATGGAAGCATTGCTGCATTTTCAACGCATTTGGTTGTGTAAATTGTTCTTAAAATCACTCAATATTTCATAATCACAGTTTTTATTTCTATGATAGAACAAATTTTAACTCCTGAAAGAAAAATCTAATTCTATTTAATGTTTTATTTAAAATGACCAACTATGGTGGTTGCAGAATTAATTGGTATAAATGATTAACACCAAGGGCTTTGGAATTAAACAGACTTGGGATCTAGTGCTGAGCTCCACTCTTTTACCTATGCAGCCTAACCTTGGGGGGTTACTTGTCTTTTGGAGAGAGCTGACAGAATGGGCAGAATGATGGGTCCTGTCCCACAAGGTGGCTGAGACTCAATGAGATGATGGATGTCAGGTGTTGAGCTCTCTGCCGGGCTTAATAGACGGATTGCGACCACCTCCCTCCTCTGCGCCCTATTTGAAAGGAAGTCACGGTTCACCTCAAACCTACAGGCTTACAGACAGCCTGAACTTTTACCCTTGGGGGAGTGGGCTGACATTGGGAACAGTCCCACTGGTCTAGTAAAAGAGAGTCATAGAAGTGAGGCCGTGGGGCCACTGCCGCAGCTCCTCCGGAAGTGCTTCCCAAAGTGATGAGAGTGGTGCTGGCCTTTCCAGGCTGACCCGGAAAAAGAAACTCGCAGGAAGCGTCTAGCGAGCCGGCGAGGCATCTGTCTCCCAGGTATTTGAAATTTTGCGTTTGGTAGACTGCGGATGATTTAAGACCTCGGAAAAAAGGCTCCTAAGAGAGACGGAAATCAGGGCAGGGGTGGTAAGCGAACAGGATCAATGCGAGGGCCACTGGTCAGCAAGGCAGAGCGAAGGGCAGGCCTCACACGGACAGGGCTGTGGCGGGGCTGGGTGTCCAGGCCTCATGCCCGCCAGAAACACGGAGCCTGTTCTCAGGCGAGCGAGCACGTGCCGGAAGGGAAAACCTATAAGAACTCATAAATAATCACTTGCCTCGATGAGGTTTAGAAGACAGGAAACAGAAGAGTCCCCCACAGACCTGGGGAGTAAGGTGTGTTTGAGCCAAACTTTCTGGTCGCAGTGTTTGAAGGGCTGAACTCTGGAGCCCTGTGGAGGTTTCACCACCTGCTCCTGGGAGGTGGATTTCCAGAGCTTTCCCACTCATGTTGACGTTCCAGGGAAGCATGCGGGTACAGCGGCAGCCTGCCTTACTGCGTGGATTCGGGGTAGGCCAGGCAGGCAGAGGGCGTGCGCCCCGTTTGGTCCTGTAGACTTCCATTCTCCAGCCGCGTCCAGGGGAGAGGCTGTCCACCCTGAGTGCCCCCAGGTGACACTCTTGCTTAACTGGCCTCAGGGAAAAGGTGATGCGTGAGGGAGGGAAGCCGTCATCCTGAGAGGAGGCCTGCACGCCTGGCAGAGCTTCAGTGGATGCCCGCACATCCTAGGCTGAGAACCTACGCGTGTGGGGATGTTTAGAGAGAATCTGCTGCCCTTTGGGTGTGTGGTGGGGGGGGGTCGGCTCCCAGGTGGCTCAGTGATAAAGAACCTCCCTGCCAATGAAGGAGACGTCTTAAGACTCAGATTGGATCCCTGTGTTGGGAAGATCCCCTGGAGGAGGGCATGGCAAACCACTCCAGTATTCTTGCCTAGAGAATCACGTGGACAGAGGAGCCTGGTGGGCCAGGGTCTATGGGGTTGCAAGGAGTTGAATTGGACTTCACAACTGAACAATTTCTGTATAGCAAAGTGATTCAGTTATATATGTATACATGTACATTCTTTTTTTATATTCTTTTTCATTATGGTTTATTATACAGTATTGAATATAGTTCTCTGTGCTATACAGTAGGACCTTGTTATTTATCCATCCTCTATATAAACTCTTAAATCCCCTAACCTCCCACTCCATCCCTCTCCCAAACAGCCACTAGTCTATTCTGTTTGTCCCTGAGCATGTTTGTTTCTTAGATAGGTTCCTTTGTGTTATATTTTAGATTCCACATGTTATATCATATGGTATTTTGATTTCTCTTTCTGAATTCCATTATTATGAATAATCTGTAAGTCCATCCATGTTGCTGCAAATGACATTTTGTTCTTTTTATGGCTGAGTAGTATCCCATTGTATATATGTATCACATCTTTACCACATCTTCCTTATCCATTCATCTGTCATTGGACATTTAATTTGTTTCCATGGCTTGGCTATGGTGAATAATGTTGCAATGAACATAGGGGTGCATGTATATTTTTTAATTATCCAGTTTTTTTCTGGATATATGCCCAGGAGTGGGATTGCTGGATCATATGGTAATTCTGTTTTTAGTTTTCTAAGGAACCTCCGTACTATCTTCCACAGTGACTGCACCAACTTGCATTC